AAAAAAATCGGATATGAGTCAGATGGGTCAAAAAAATCGGATTTGGGTCGGATTTGCCTGCAGTGTGAACGTAACCCAAGACGACACCTAACAATGGATCAACAGTACCCTGCCATTGGGATGCTTCAAACAGGACGTTCTCAGACGGATGTGGCCACTGAGCTTAGAGTGTCACAGAGTGTCATCAGCAGGTTTCAACAGAGAGACCGAGGGACTGGAAGAATCACAGAAAGGTGTAGAAGTGGACGTCCTTTGGCCACATCCCATGCTGATGACCGCTACATTGTGAACAATGCCCTGAGAAACCGGATGATGAATGCCACTCAACTCCAGGCATGGTTAAGGGAGGTGAGAGGCACCCATGTGTCACATCAGACTATTCGAAACTGGTTACATCAGCGTGGTCTGCATGCTAGACGACCTGCAAGGGTACCTGACCCCACCACCAGGCACAGGTGTCATCATCTTGCATGGGCCAGGGAGCATTTACGCTGGACGAGGGACCAGTGGGCCTCAGCACTATTCTCTGATGAAAGTCGATTCATGTTGAGCAGAAATGATGGCTGCCAGTGATGTTGGAGACGTCAAGGAGAGCGCTATGCATCAGCCACTGTTGTCACCAGATAAGCTTTTGGTGGTGGCGGTGTTACAGTGTGGGCAGGTGTCTCCAGTCGGTACAGAACTGCCCTACACTTTGTGAATGGTACAGTGACAAGCCCATACTACCTGAATAACATCATTAATCCAGTGACTGTGCCCCTACATGAACAACACAGGTCTGATTTCATCTTCATGGACAACAATGCTCCAGTTCATTGAGGTCGCATCATCAGGGAACAGCTATTGGAGACTGGTGTACCTCAAATGGACTGGCCTGCACTTTCTCCAGACCTGAACCCTATTGAAAACCTGTGGGATCAGCTGAGTCGCCTTGTAGAGGCTCGAAACTCTGCACCCCAGAACCTCAATGACCTGAGGGCTGCCCTTCAAAAAGAGTGGGATGCCATGCTCCAGCAGACAATAAGTCGACTTCTGAACAGCATGAGACGTCGTTGTCAAGCTGTAATTGATGCTCAAGGGCACGACGAGTTATTGAGAGGTTGAAATTTTTTATTGTGGTGTACCCACCATTGTTGTTAATTGTTGTTGATTTTTGTTTGAATAAATTGTTTGAGATGAGGAAATCACCAGTGCATTCTTTTTCTTAAATGTCCTATTTTCATGATATGATATTACTGTAGCGTGAACTTTTTACATTTTCCATAAAATTCACCTGAAAGCCAAATATCCCTAACTTTTTGTGGGTAGTATATTTAATTGTGCTTTGATATCTGTGGTTTTAGGATTTGATAATGTCTGTGTGCTGATGCCATTCTTGGCCAGGTCTCTGTTAAAAGAGAGATTTTCAATCTCATTGAGATCTACCTGGTTAAATAAAGGTTTAATAATGAAAAATATACTTTTTTTTCTTTTTTTACCTTGACATGGATCTGGTTGCGCAGCACGGCGGCACGGAGGATCATAGCTTTAGCTCGTCTCTGGAATTCTTTGCCCATGTGGAGAGACTTCTCAAATGTGGTGCTCCTCTGGTCCACATCTCTTGCATATAGGATCTGCAGACACACAAGACCGCTTGTTCACCAACATTTACATAGAAGAAACGCTGCTGGCTGCTTTGTTCAGAGGGTTTTCTACCTTGCTGTGGGAGTCGATCCGTGCATTGACGAGCCCCTCCAGAATCAGCTGCGTCAGCTCGTCTTCCAGGGCTGAGACTGTGGTGTTGAAAGCCTGAGCCATCTTTGTCATGTCAGCCGAGACATACGGGCTGAAATACTGAACACAWCAATCACACAAACAGCAGGGTTAGAAAACAACACAAGGAAAGGACCAAACATAACAAATAATAACCTGTTTCTCCAAACTAATTATAACTGATAAACTGACTTTAAAGATTATTTCCTTACTCATCTAACAAGGATTTGTTAGACGAGTAAGGAAATATACACCTTTTTAAAATAAACATATTCCGGACTAAATACAAGTTTGCAACATAAATAAGCTTAAAGTGAATCTTATGTGTCTTGTCTTATTTTCAATTGTTTATATTTGTTTAACCATTCCTATAACTACAGTGTTGTGTGCAGCTCTTTTACCATCAGCASTTTTTAAATAAATGTGTTTTATAAACACATTTGAGTAGATCTGAAYTGTCTACAAACATATTGGCAACAAAGGAAGAAATCCTGAAGATTTTTATCATTTTTTTATTTCTCATCATGCCTCACCTGACAACATGCATCTGATTAGTATTTGTCTTAGTACTGGTAAGTACTTGCTTTGAAAARGTGCTATAGGTTCATCCCTAACTGAAGTAAAGATTCAAAGCAATATACTTTAGTTTTTAATAATATGGGTTTTATAATGTGTGATTGTATTGAGTTATAAATATCTGGATTTTATCATCTTAAAATCTTGATATCCATCTTTAAAACTGCATGAAGAGGCTGTMAGGTGATTGAATAACTATAATTAATATCATGTAGGTAAATCTGAGCTCCAAACAATAAATCAGTGCAAAGCGTTCACTGCTTCCTGTGAGAAGCAGATTGAGGAAGTGCAGAGCAGCACAAACATCTGAACGTGTCTCACCTGAATGAGAGCTCTGTTTCTGATCTGACTGTACAGAGTTCTGATGTGTGGAGCCAAGTACATGTCCAACAACAGATTGTCCTGGAAGAAACGCACAATGCAACCTGGTTAACATTCTTCTATATCATATCATATCATATCATATCATATCATATCATATCATATCATATCATATCATATCATATATCATACAGTGGGGAAAATAAGTATTTAGTCAGTCACCAATTGTGCAAGTTCTCCCACTTAAAAAGATAAGAGAGTCCTGTAATTGACACCATAGGTAGACCTCAACTATGAGAGACAAAATGTGAAAAAAAAAATTGAGAAAATCATTTTGTCTGACTTTTAAAGAATTTTTTTTGCAAATAATGGTGGAAAATAAGTATTTGGTCAATAACAAAAGTTCATCTCAATACTTTGTTGTATAACCTTTGTTGGCAATGACAGAGGTCAAACGTTTTC